ATAGAAAATGAAATATTCTAAATATATGAATGCAAATTATTACTTTAGATGCTAAATTCTTAAGTAAAATTTTCCTTATCTAAGCCAGTTAAGCTTGTTTCTCATAAATTCCCCAAGCAACCACTTTTCATATTTTCTCTGTCTACCTCAGAAATGTTTGCTTACCTTCCCAGGTCGTGGGATACACCTCAGAGTCTGCTTGTCAACATTCTGGAATTATAAAAGTAGAAGTAAACCTTAGCAATCAGCAGTGAAAAGACATATAGCACACTCTCTTAGCAGACACAAACCCAGTTTAGCACCTAATTTTGGTACTAGTTGCTTCTCTAGATGCTACAAAGGTTGTGTGTGTGTGTGTGGGGGGGGGATAACATGTTGTTTCTGCTCTCAATGAGCTTAGAGCTCAGAAAGTGGAAACATACATATCATACTCAAAGAACTCTTCTAAATGGAGAACTAATATAAAACTCCAAGCAAATACAATAGAAAATTCCAGGTAAGAGAGAGGCAAAGGAAATGGTGTCTGCATTAACAGAATGAGATAGCTCACAGAGATTCAGAATAGACTTCCCTAAAAAGCAGTTACTGAGAGGTTCTTAAAAACAGTATTTTAATAAGGTAAAAAGTGTGGCAGGCAAAAAAATTCCAGAAAGAATCATTCTGAGAACAAGTATGGTGGAATGAACAGGGTATGTAGGAAGTGCAAGGTGAAAGAGTTGAAAAAAATAGAACTTAAAAGGAATGGTAATACAGACTGAAGAGATTCCATTTGACTTAGTAGGCAACTGAAATTCACTGAGGGGTTCTGGTGGTATAGCGCTTAAAGAGATTGGTGTCCAACCAGAAGATCAGCTGTCCAAGTACATAAGCCGCTCTATGAACAAAATGTGACAATCTGCTCGTCATGTGTTAAAGCCTGTCAAGTGGAAAGCCTACAGGGCAGGTCCACTGTGTCTTAGGGAATCACTATGAGCTGGATGAACTCTATGACTTGGGGTGGGGCAGTTACTGAATTATTAAAGAAACTTCTCAAATCCCATCATTTCGTTTAAAATGACTTTCCTTTGCAAATAATTAGTCCTTAAGTATTATTCTTTATCACTGAGGCTTTTTAAAATAAAAATTACGGCTCTTGGGAATCCAGAGAAAGTTCCATGATCTTGGGAATGTTATAAAGGAAAATCTCATACACAATGCATTTTCTACATTAGATTTTTAAGTATTTCTAAATTGAAGGGGGAAAACTACTGAATGTTCCTATTATTTCCAGCTTATTCCCCCCGCCTGTAAATTAAGACTCTTTATGGCCCTGCTATATGTAAAGAATAGGAACAACTCAAGTGAAAGATTGCCATCAATATTTAATTTCACCCAACAGAAATATTTTTACAAGAGGTACAAAGCCAAATGAGAAGTAACCATCATAATTTTATTTAGTTCAAAAACTAAGTATCAGTAGACTAAATAAGTTACTTCTCTTTAATTAATCCCTTAAACTGAACTTAACAATTTACCCCCTTAATGTCACAGTTTAGCTGAAATAATAAGCTGTATGATACATTTAAAATACTGAAGAATGCTATTTTTCAAGATAAAGTTTATACAACCTCACATTTTCTTAATAAGGTTTTAGATCCTTTCATGAGTCAAAGCTCTACTCACTAACTGGTGAATAGTCAAACTAACTTACCTCTGTGAATAAATTTAATCTGGCCGAGCTGTCTTGAAGACTTTTTGACGCTGGTTCGTGAATAAGCCCACCAACTCTGACTCCTCTTTCTGAGGAATGGGTTTTAGACGTCTTCAAATATTGATGATATACACTCTTTAAAGATGAGTGTAGTTTAGAAGTAAGGTCTGATTTTTGTAGCACTGGGACCTTTTCTGGCCACAGACCAATTTGTAGATTGCAGGTTGTAAGCTCAGTTGGCACTGCAGGTGGATTCTTAGGCATTTCAGTCATTTCTTGGTCATCTTCAGGGGAAAATGCAACTGGAGAATCTGGCATCTGGAAGGTAACATGTTCTCTCTTTTGAGATGTGAGACTTCCTTTATGTAATTGTTCCTCCTTTTCTTCCTCTTCTTCCCCTGCTGTCTCCTGTTCATCTTCCTCAAAATTCATCTTTAAACGCTCTGATACTGACTGGAGAAGTGATAAAACAGAAGAGGCCTGGTTTGTACCCTCTCTTGGTTTTCGTGAGCCATGGTGACCAGGTGAGACCTCACTGGATAGAATGTCCTCCTGAGAGCTGTCATCTTCATAGATGGGAGATAAAGCCAAGGGATAAATTTTGTATCGCTTGGCTTCCACAGACAGAAACATTTCTGAACTATCACTATCAAAGGTTTCCCCTACTTTAGTATCTCTTTCAAAACGATGGACAAGGTCAGTTCTACTCTCAGATCTTTCACATGCCACAACAGGCATGCTGTCGGCAGAAGGATCAGGATACAGGAGAGACCGTGTTTTTCTAATCTCAGCAGCAGCAAACTTGTCCTCACCTTGAAGGGGCTCTTCATATAATATAGTGAAAGAAGGATTTTCTTGCTCATCCTGAGAAACAACGGCTAAGTTAGAGTGTCTCTTTTCACTGCTATATTCCAGCCCTCTGTTTTTGTTACACACTGCAGTAAGAGACATTTTTCTGTCTAGATTTATTATGGAATCCTCAGATTGAAAATCAGATGCTGCTAAGGATGGATAGCCTTCATAATCCTTACTTAACGTAGGCGATTCATAGCCTTTGAAATGTGGTATGTATCGACTGCCACCTACTAATAAGCTTTCCTTTATTTCAGTGCTCTCTTCCTCCACTTCTCCAACAATCGCTTCAGCATACACTTGGGGTACTGTTTTGGCCTCAAACTCTGGAAGAAGAATGGCCTCTGCTTGTGTAATGGCCAACTCCACAGCTGTTTCAGATGGTTTCTCAATGTCTAACATAGTAGATAAAGCCTTATGTTCGTTACTCCCATCAGAATCTTTTGAGGATATTCTTTCCATTTCAACCACAGGGATGATAGGCACAATTGTCCCAACAGTCTCTTTAATACTCCCTTTGCACACGTTTCCCATTGCTGAAATGGCAGAGTCAGGCGTTGTCCTGTTAGATGATTCTCTGATGTCTAACAGAGAAGATACTATTTCAGTATCCTTAACCACCTCTTCAGAATCCTTTTGGAAAGTATCTTCCATTTCTAACATAACAGGCATCACCTCAGCTTTGCCAGTATCTCCACTGGCATCCAGTGAGTAAATACCTCCCATCTCTAACATAAGAGGTCTTGCCTCAGTCTTTAAAATAGTTCCTTCAGCACCCTTTTGGCAAATAGTTTCCATTTCTAAAGGAACAGGTATAACTTCAGTGTTCTCAGTAATCCTCTCAGAGTCTCTTGTGTAGACACTTTTCACTTCTGAAATAACCGGTTCCACTTCAGTCTTGTCAATACTCCCATCAGCATCCTTTTGGCCAGTATTTTCTAGTTCTAAAGAAGGAGGTAATACTTCAGAGTTTTCAGGAATCCTTTCAGACTCTTTGTGGTAGGTATTTTCTGCTTCTGACATAACTGATGTCATGCCAGTCCTGTCAACACCCCCAATTAAATCCTTTTGGCAAGGGTTTTCCTTTTCTAAAGGAACAGGTATCACTTCAGTATTTTCAGTAATCCACTCAGACTCCTTTGGGTAGAGATTTTCCGCTTCTGACATAACAGCAGGTGCCACTTCAGTCTTGCCAGTATCTCCTTCTGCATGTTTTTGGTAAATAATTTCCATTTCTAATGGGGCAGGTATCGACTCAATCTTTGCAATATCTCCTTCAGCATCCTTTTGGCAAATATTTTCTATCTCTAATGTAGGAGGCATCCCATCAGTTTTCACAGTAATTTTCTCAGCAGCTTTTTGGTAAGAATTTTTCCCCTCAGATGTAACAGTCATCACTTCCATTCTGCCAACATCCCCGTCAATGTCCTTCATCTTACAAGTAACAACAGGCAAGTCCTCAACATTTTCAATGTACTTTTCAGCATCCATTTGGCACACTTCCCCCATGTTAAAAATGTCAGCTCTTGGTTCATTTTTAGTGCTACCCAACTCAGCACCTTTCTTCTGTGTTTTTCCCACTCCCAACATGGGAAGGGCTGCCTCAAATATTTTCATATTTAACTCAGCATCTTTTTTGCTTACCTTCTCTATTTCGAGCATGGGAGGTTTGAGTTTTCCTATATTTACTTCAGCATCCTTTTTGTGTGCTTTTCCTACTTCGGACAGTGAAAGGGGTGTGCTTTTCCCACTGTGTCCTGCTAAGCTTCTTTCAGGCACACATACAAGACTATCAGACAAGCTGCTTTTGGATGTGCCAGGTAGATGGCTATCATCACTCACAAATGGAGGTAATGCGACATTTAATACAAGAGTTCTTGTGTCTGCCTCAGTTTTTTTATCCACACACACGGCTTCAATTCTCTCTTCATGGTTCTCTTTGAAATGTGAATGTGTTTGTACCTCATCATCTAATTCTTCAGGGGGTATTTCTTCAGCTAGCAAAGCAGTATCTGATTCTTGCAAGTTCACTCTATCAGAGCACCCCACTCTTTTCTCAGAAAATGGGGATTTTTGGTAGAGAACAATTTCTCTTCCTTTAATTGACTTTCTGTCACTAACTACATTACTAACATGGCAGAATCTACTTAAGGTTTTCTTTTCATTAATTTCACATGCACGTTGGCTTACTGTCTGCTCTGCTACTAGGAAGTCCCTAACTCTATCATATGGCTTAACACTATCTCTGTTCAGAAGTTTTGATGTATTAGTCTGAAGTTCAGAATCCCAAGTGTCCTCAGTATCTTCAAAAGAATTACTTGTCAGGTTTTCTTGGGCTGAATAAATAATCTCATTGACTAACTCCCTAGCTTGCTCTTCTAACAAATAAGATATATCCATTCCATCAGAATCAGAAAGACTCTTCTCACCAACTGCAGGTAAAAGGCTGGCCTTTTCGTCTCTGTAGCTTTCCGACATGCTTTCTAGGTGCTGCTCTTTTGAAGGACCTGGCAGTTGGATCCCTGCTTGTGTACCTTCTTCTGAAGGGTCTGTTTCAGGGGTGTCTTCTTTCAGGGTACCTGGATTCATAACACTGTCTCTGGCTATTTGGTTTTGGTAGATACCAACTGTGGGTCTAGACGTCAGTTCTTCTCTGGCAGAGTTAAAAATCACATCAATTAACTTATCAGCTTTTTGAAGTAAACCACTTTGAGGGTCCAAAAGTTGGTCATGTACTCTTCTCCTTGCTTCTATGTGCTCAGCAGATGCTTCAGAACACTGCTGTCTTGAGCTGTTAACTGACACTGGAGCCCCAGCAACTGTTCCAGCATCTGCTTCCCTGAGATTGTCAAACTGAACAGCAGTAGGGAAATCAAGAGGTACCTTCCCACCATGAATCCCAAAATGGTCCTGAAGTGGCATCACCTCTGTTCCTGTTAGGATAGGTGTTATCAATTCCAAATAAGCGGTATTAGGGGATAGTAGGTTAGGTAAGGGGGTGCCTTCATGTGTGAGATCTTTGGTAACTTTTTTAGACTCAACATTATCTTTTAGATGATGTGAATTTATAACCATGCTAACTTCCTCAGAGTTACTAGAGGAAGTTGGCACATTATCAACACACTCACAAAGAAAGTGAGGCTTGTCTTTCTTTGTGTGGGATGAAGCTTTGTCTTCTGATCTCTGCAGAATAGAGACATTAAGAAAACTTGAATCTTCGCATATAAAGGTATTTTTTCCCAAACTGACATCAGAATACAGAAAAAGTGGATCTACTTTTGTGCCATCAGGTTTCTGGGATTCTGAGGAATTACTAGTTAAGCTGAGGTCTGCCATTTCTGAAGGTCCAGAAGCATTTTTGACCCCATGAACCTCTGAAAGGTCACAAATCATTGGCAGGTTAGTGTTATAATTCTGTGCCATTTGCCTAGTGGCCTTTTCAGCTTGAACAGGAAGTAAAAGCGGAGCAGGAGGATCACCTAAAGCTTTCACCTCTGTCTCCTGCACATCTTGACACTGAGAAACATAAGTAGAAACCTCGATTTGGTAATTCTCTTCCTGGCCAAAATCAGAATATTTCCCTTTCATGTCATGGTCCATGGACTGAAAACTTTTGTTTAGCTTAGTTAATTCTGATAAAGTAGGCTTTGCTGGCACATCTGAAATTTCAGATGAACTTTTATTCTGAAAAAGAATTCTGGGCTCTGTTTGAGAAAGAGAAATCTTGGATAGGGTTGTGGGTTTTCTTCTTTCAGAACACGATTCAAAAGGAACAGTATTATGGCCACCAACTTCAGCTTTCGTTGTTATTTCAGCAATGCCATCAGTTCTGGATTCCAAGGAAAGAGAATTGGATTTGTCTACAGTGTTGTTATTTACTTTAGAGTTTGAAGGATTTAGTTTTGCTTTATTAAAAGGTTCTTGGAGTGACAATGAATTGTAGTCCTCAGAGAGGCTTCCAGACTCAGAGTTCAAGCTGTGTAGTCCAATTAAATGGGCATGGCAGCTTTCAGGACCCAATGGCACCTGGAATTCTTGGAAATCAGAGAAAATGTCCTTGGAATCAGAACATGAGACCTGTTCCAGGTGGAAGAAAGGAGGAGAACGTTTCACATCTGCAGCTTCAACCTGATTTGCCCCATTTTCTTGCTGACACTGATAAGAAATACTGGCAGTGGTTATACTCCCAGTTTCAATGGGCATAGAAGAACTTTCATCCTTTAAAATAAGCCTCTCCAGCTTGCTTAGCGTGCCAACTCCAGAATCACAGGTAGGAGGTGAAGGATTGAAATTTACTTGTTCACAGTCAAGGGCAAGCAATTTTTCAGCATCCAATGATTCTTTGGCTTGTTGACAACTCTCAGTTTCAAGAGGAGATTCTGCAATGTGATTTCTGTTAACTTCAAAATTCATTTCAGGTGTTACTTTCTTTTCTACGCATACAGCAACTGCTGAGTCACTGAAATGTTTTAACAAGGCAGAGTCTGTTTTATCTATTTTAACAGTTTGAGGAATTTTACTGTGTAGTCTAAAATCAAGCTTTTTTGGTTCTGTTGTACTCGATTCCTCAGGGTCTTTGGGTAATGGTTCATTTCGACTTTTTGGAGCTTTTATACCACTTGATGTTGTGAGTTCATGAGCTGAGGAGCTTTCTGTTTCTTGTTTGATTTCTCTAACAGCTTTGTTTATTTGTGAGTTCTGGGCAGTAGGTTTGTTCCTTCCACCTACACATTCTGTGTCTGTCACAACATGTTTCTGGAGAGCAGTGGTGCTGGTATGATTGGCAGGCGATTTGGATGAGTTATCTACAGGTTGTGTGTCAGAATCTTTACTCTCTGGCAACCGCAGATCTTCATGCCTAATTGATTTCTTAGGACTTGGCAAGTTTGTACTTTGCTGTGTGATAGCGCCACTCCCTTCAGTTTTACCATAAGAGAGGTCAGAGGTAGCAAGGCTCTGAGGTTCAACAGGCCCTCCTCGTTGTACCAATATCCTATCACAACTCACAGAACTGTCCTCTTTCATTACATTCTTTGCTGTAGTTCTCTGAAAATCTGGACTGCAAGGGCCTCCACTGCTGTTACTTCCTGTAAACAAAGCTGAACATACCAAATTTCTGTCAGTCTGAGAAACTGGTCCACAACTTAAATGCCTGTGTGAGTCATTTTCTCCAACAACAGAATTGGAGTCAGTCAGGGAAGGAGATGACCTACTTCTCTCAGGTCCCCAGAGTTCACTTTTATTTAAAACATCCTTAGTGGAAGCAATGTTGTGCTGTTCTGAGATGTTTGTCAGATGCTTTTCAATGCTGATATTTATTTTGCTACAATCAGAGTCTTCTAAGGGGCTTCCAAGTAAATGTCCTTTCATAGAAGCATCTTTGTTAGCTGATGATAATGGTGGAGCCATCCGCACACTTCCAAGGCCAACATGTGTGTTTATACTGGAGTCAGAGCTTTCATTTTCCCCATCCAAGTGATTCACGGGATCTAGTGCTGTCTGTTTCTTTAAATATTTCTTTATACGCATGGGACCCCGATAAGTTGCATATGTTATTGAAGGTCTTTCTGGTTTACCATGAACAGGTCTGTTAAAAAAAAAAAAAAAAAAAGAAAAGAAAAAAATCAGCAGAAGAGTATTAGGAACTATGATTATTAACAGAGATTGTGTAAAGTACAGCTTTCAAACACTACTTCTGTTAATACATACTACTTCAGGATGGAATTCTTAGAACGCTTTGGATAAATCTATCTTGGTTTTTTGCAAAATAAACATTTAAAATCCAGCACATCAATGTCAAGTCTGCAAAAGAAATGTGTGCGCTCCTTAGAATAATCCTTCTTCTAGTATTAAACAGAAGTCACTGTGATTAATGAAGAGAACAGGGCTGGGGAGTTAAGAATTTTGGTTTTACCTCCAATTTCAAAAGAACATTTGACTTGAAAGAATCAATTTCATATCTCTACCTTATACTGGCATCCAGAGTTTATAGATACCCTACAATTAATTCTCCACCATGTTATTACACCACAGTGGTCTGATTCCTTTCTTCTTCTTTTTAGTTTATTGGTTTGCTTACAACATTTGTAAACATTGTGCTACACACTATTCTTCATTGTGTTTTATACAACCATTCTCATGTATTATGTTTTCTAAAATTAGTCACCATTCTCCCTTTATTCTTAAATGTGAAACTGAGCAGCAACTTTTCTAATTAGTAAAGAAATTTTAAAAGGAAAACATCTGGCAAAATGCCTGGTGCAGCAACTCTGTAAATATTTGGTAACTCAGTAAATGACAGAATCACCTTAAAATGTCTTTGTTTTATTAAGTCCTTCCAATAGTCAATGAATTACTATTAAATTGCTTGGGTAAAGGTAGAAATAAAAAGGATTTCTAGGAAAAAAAGAAAATAAACCCAAGCATAAAGTTTCAGCTGCTATCAGCATGCAGCTTTCTTTGAAGGGTCAGCCTGTAAGAGTTCTTACGCCATATCAGGCGTTGTATAGATTTTTACACATGGCATTCGTGTTCCTTTAATTCCAGCCGAAGAAATTCTAATGTCCTCTAGACTCAACTGACAAGTTACCTCAATCACAAACCTACCTCAAGATCCTTCTACTATTAAGACAGGCAATTTAGTTATCGATGTAGGGTGCAAAGTACCCCTCACACAGCATTTATTGTATAAAACTGTAAAGATCTATGCATTGGTTTGATTTTCCTCAATAGTCTGAGGACTATTTGAGGGCTGCCATTATGTTATGACTTCATAATCTTTTTGTTGTTGTTGTTATGTGCCATGGAGTCATTTGCGACTCATAGCGACCCTATGTATAAGAGTTTTAAACGCTGTTCTATCCTATGCCAACCTAGCCATCTCAAACGCACTTATTCCCACCACTCCAGTCACATAATCAATCCATCTCATCGAAAGTCTTCCTCTCCTTCACCGCCCCTCCACTCTGCAAAACATGATGTCCCTCTCCAAGGACCAGTCCCTCCTTGCAACATGCCCAAAGTAAGTCAGACAAAGCTTCAGAATCCTTGACTCCAAGGAGCATTCCAGCTTCACCTTCTCCAGGACAAAACTGTTTGTTTTTCTATCAGTTTCTGGTATATTCAACACTCTTCTCCAGCACCACAGCTCAAAGGCATCAATTCTCTTTCTATCAACCCTTTCTATCAATTCACTGTCCAACTTTCTGATGCATAGCACATAATTGGGAAGACTATAGCCTGGATCAGGCACACCATAGTCTCCAGCCTGACGTCGTTGCTCTTCAGTACTCTTAAGAGGTCCCTCACAGCTGACTTTCCCAATGCAATTCGTCTCTTGATTTCCTGGCTGCTGTTAACAAGAGTGTTGATTATGGAGCCAAGCAAACTAAAACTGTTAACTGTCTCAATCTCTTAACCATCCATACTGATGCTGCCAAGTGGCCCAGTGGTGAGAATCTTTGTTTCCTTGATGTTGAGCTTCAGTCCATATAGGAGGCTGCAGTCCTTGACCTTCTGCAGCAAGCGCTTCAGGTCCTCCTCAGTTTCAGCAAGCAGGGTTGTGCCATCTGCATAACCCAGGTTGTTGATGACTCTTCCACCAATCCTGATGCCATATTTCTCCTCGTACAGCCCAGCGTCTCAGATGATCTGTTCTGCATACAGACTGAAAAGGTATGGAGACAGAATACATCCCTGACAGACCCCCTTCTTGATTTTGACCCATGTAGTGTCTCCTTGCTCTGTTCTGACGACTGCCTCTTGGTCCAAGTACAGGTTTCACACCAGAGCTCCCTAACTTTTTTTTAAATTTTATTCTATTATTGTGTGTGTGTGTGTGTGTGTGTGTGTGTACAAAATCAACTGTGTGTCAAATCAGACCTGACTGGTACAGGAGGAGATTGTTCCTCCTTCTTCTGGTGGATTCAAACCACGCACCTCTGGGATTGCAGTGCAGCTTCTTGCCACTAGGCCACCAGAGCTCGCCCATAATCTTTTTTAAGGATCTAACACAAGATTAATGATATTAAAAACAAAAACAAAAACAAAAAAGCTCCTGTAAATTGAGTAAAGAGCTGTGCTGCCAATTCAAAGGCAAGCAGTTCAAATACACCAGGACCTGTAAGGAAGAAAGACCGGCAAACTCCTCTTGTGCAATTTACAGTCTCTGAAAACCCACTGATAGGTAGGCCGTTAGGAAAAAAGGTATGACTCTCAATGCTAAGTAATCTTTTCCACACAACTACCTTAATTACAATCGATAGCAAAACACTTTTAAATTCTGAACTCTTTATTAATTTTTAGTGTGCCAACTAGAAACATGAATAACAGAAGAATTTCAAGAATATAGTATTTTTTGTTCTAAGATTAACATATCATTAACCAAAACATTACCCTATAATGGATACAAATAACAAAATATTCCTGTTCTAAGCTTTGTAATATCTTAAAAATAGCTAAATTATTTTCTTTAAACTGAAAAGTAGTAATATCAAGAAAGCTAGAGTTTTCTAAATAAATTTTTTAAAAAGTCGAAAGTAAATCTCCTTTAACAGATAAGAACTTAGTCAACTGTTTCTCTTGCAAGGGTCTTGCATGTTAGTGGAAAGAATTTACTTCAGCCTAGATAACTACTCTAATTTGAGCTTACGACTTCTGATTTAAAAAAAAAATTACTTATTTTCCTGTCCATTATGTAGCAAGTATAGAAAACGTGTAGAGAAAAGTTTGGTCTTCCAAAAATTATTTTAGCTGCTCCATGTGTTTCAGGTTAGATTAAACATGATTAGCAAGCAAAGTAAAAAAATTAAGTAAGGTACTTACTCAAAAGAAAAACAGAGAATAGTACATAAAACAAATTCATAATGCTAGTGAACCTTATATTAAAATACATAACTTATTCAGAAGAGCTTTTCAAAGTCACATATGAAGATCTAGAAGTCTGAATAAATGATGAGAGCGTTTTAGTTTCTATTTTCTTACAAAGCTTTAATACTTTATATGTAAAACATACTTAAAATAGGCTGTAGTGACTTCCCTTCCCCCCAAAGATCACCAAAATATATTTGAGGGTTTAAGCAAAGAAGTACACATGATGTCAACAGAAACAGGAAATGAGAAATATGGTAAATATTAGACTTTTCCTCTTTTAAGTTTTATAAATCTAGACCCCCTTATCATCAGCTCACTCCTAACAGAGCTGCATACATTTTGTGTTTCATTATTAAAAGAATGCATCATTTCATCAAAAAGGACTGTCTAACAAACTTAATGACAAACAAACATCCACTAAATGCCAACTCACATTGTTAATGCCTTCAGTAATTCTAGAACCTTTTAGGGTTGTAGAGAATAATACCATTTTCATTATTTGTAAAACTCTCTGGGTAATTCCAACTATATAATTAAAGTGATTTATATGAAACTGAATGGTACTCAGATAACACAATGGCTAAGTGCTCATCTGCCAATAAAATAGCTGGTGGTTTGAACCCACACAAGGTTTGCACAGAAGAGAAAGGAGAAAAAGACTTGGCCATCTGTTTTAGCAAAGATAAGAGTCAAGAAAATTTTATGAAGAAGTTCTACACTGTCACATGGGATCCTAAGTGTTGAAACTGGCTTGATGGTCCCCAATAACAACATGAATTTTGAAAGACAGAATTTTTTCCAATATATTTAGTTCACAGTACAGTTATATGTTAAGTAAATCTAAATGACTTTAAATGTTTAACTGCATAATTACTCATAGCACCAAAGCTCTAAACCTAGTTTGATGTAATATGTTGAATCCCTTCAAGTTATTGATGAACTACACTCCCATTTTTACAAAAAGTTAGGCACTCCAATATAGTCTATTTTTATGTCATTTTTTTCAAATAACAATGCCATCATGATAACTGAATAGTATTAAGTAAATGAAACTGTCCTTTATTTTATGATTCCCTCCAGCATCCATGGATTAATGGTTGTTGCCAACACAATGGTATGCAGTTCAAATTTACCAGTTGCTCTGGAGAAGAAAGATAGGCAATCAAGTCCTCTGTGATATACTGCGAGCTATGTGTGGCTTCCAACTCAACACCACATAGCAACAACAGTAAAAATAAAAGAAAATATAGAAATGCTGAAACATAACTTTAAACATAAATTAAAATGTAAAATATTAAAAAGGTTTCATTTTCAAACAAGGCCAAAGGGAATATTAAAATTTTATGTATTCTGTACATACCAAATATCTTGTGTATATCATCATATACATCATTCTTTTATACATTTTAGCAAAAAAGATAACTACCCATCAAATGAAGGTTTATTAAGCCTCCAGGTACTACACACAGCTGTTCTCCTTTCTGTAGATGTTTTATGTATCTAACACAACAAAGGTCAGCGAACGTCATGTCATTCTTCAGAAAAATTCTGTAATAGCAGACTGAAAAGGATAACCAACAAGTCTTACAGCAATAGTACAATTCAATTATCTGTATTGAATTATATTCTTTCAAATTACAAAGTTAAGAATAAAGTCTCTTACAATAAGATTTTATTTTGTTGTGTTTTTATGGTTTTGTTTTGGTCTTTTTCATA